CTCACGGGCCCAGCCGCTCCACGGCATGTGGGATCTTCCCGGACCGGGGCACGGACCCGTGTCCTCCACGTCGGCAGGCGGACTCTCAACCACTGCGCCACCAGGGAAGCCCTTAGATGTGTCTTGGCTCCATCTGTAACCTCCGGGGCATTGACCACATCTGGTCTCCTTTAAGTTTCTGGGTTCTTGGCTGCAGTGGCACCCCTGGCATCAGTCTCTCTCCTGGGTTCTCCCACCTCGCCTTCTCCTGCAGTGTCAGCGCTCCCACCCTTGGCCCTCTGATCTTCTGTTGATCTCCCTAAGTGGTCTCACTTTGTGACTTCGTCTGTCATCCACGCACAGTGAAACAACTGCCCACCTGACTTTCAGACCTGTCTCTTTCCTGCCACCTGTTATGCCGGCACTTCAGACATGATATCTCCAAAACCAGACTTTTGGTTTAGGTAAACCTGTTTCTCTTATCGTTTATCTTGGTTAAGTCTTGTTACTCTGTCTTCTAAGCTATGAATGTCTGTGATTTCTTTCTCCCTTACCGTCCAGACCAGTCACGGAGACCTATTGATTCTACTCTTCAGTGTCTTTGGAATTTGTCCTTTTAGTTATCTGGGTTCATGCCCTTGTCCTGTCATTAAACTGCTTATGTTCGCTTCTTACCTGGACTCCTTTCTCCTGCCTTCTCTCCCTACACCCACCCTGCAACCCCATCCTTTAATATGATCTCCATAAGACCTCAGGTGAGATTTATGCTTCTCTCCCCTCCCCAAGCTCTCCCTCCCCGCAACAATTACCTATGCCCATAAAGTCCTTCCTTATGGCACTTGCTCCTGCCACTTGCCCCTGCCACTTGCCCCTTGCTGTCATCCCCAGATGACCTGTCGTGTCAGAGACATGCACTTTCCTTCGTGGCTCTCTGTCTTGGGTCATTCCCTGTCTTCTGCTGAGAATGCCACAGCCCTTTGGCCTTTTCTTTTCTGCTTGGCAAATTCCTGTTCACCCCTCAGGACTCATTTTAAATGGCATTTTCTCTGAAATCGTTTTCAAAGAAACCCCTTCTCACCCCTGCCAAATTAATAACTTTGTCTCTGGGCTACCATAGCATTAAATCACCACACCCCTTGTCACATCGCCCTGTAGAAGCCTGTGTATCTGCATACAGGCCAGCTCTAGGCTGTGAGACCCCAAAGACCAGAAATTGTCTTATATCTGTTTCCTTGGCACCCAGACACATAGTAAGTGTGCCATAGGTATCTGTTAGGTTATGTATTACGTATAGGAGTCTCAGCAGGGACTTTTTGATCTGGGCAATTGGAGTTCCAGCAGTCGGGGTGTCTGCCTTATGGTGACATATCTCTCCATGGAGGGACCAAAACACGGTGCAGTTCTCTTGGTGCCCAGGGAGAGGCGCTAGTTGTTCTCAACCCTGCCACTTTGCCTCTGATTCCAACTTTTGGTAGCCAGGTTTGCAGGCACTCTTTACCCTTTCTCCTGCATTTATGTTATACAGCAATGAAATGGGATTTATTAATTTCTACTTTAAAACGTGCTGTTATGTTAGACTCCTGTTGTATCAGTTATAGCTACTTGTTACAGATTTATATATGCCGTAGATTAAAGGCTCTCCCAGTTACAGCTCTTGATTTCGTGAAATACAAAAAAAAAAAAAAAAAAAAAAAA